GCACGAGACATCATTATTTTCAACATCAACACAAAAAAAATGGAATTCAATTTAATATTCTCATTGAAAACATTGACGAGCAGAAAACTAATTTTAGGCAAAGATAACAAAAAAACTAAATTAAAAATATTCAACAACAAATACATCAATTTTATTATAACCACAACAACAACAACAACACTAAAAACATTAACAACGTCGAGACAAAAAAGCATCAACATCCGTGACAATCTTAACAAATGTGAATATCTTCTTGCATAAGATTATTCGGTTAGCTAACCAATCAACTAATCAATCGTCAGATCAACCAGCCAACCAACCAACCAACAAAATCAATTAACCAATCAACCAATCATTCAACCAAATCAATCAATCAATCAGTCAACTAAAACAAGCAGCCAATTGAAAATTTATCCAACTAACATTATGAAACGAAAGCAGCGTGAACCAATCAATCACAAACCACCCGACTAACTAACCGATCAATTTACCAATCAAACAATCAACCAATCAACCAAACAACTAACCTACCAATCAACCAAACAACTAACCTACCAGCCAGCCAGCCAACCAACCAACCAACCAACCTTTATGGCAGTACCTTCCCCTCCATGCTGTCATGGAGCAGTCACATCTGAAAGTTCGCCACAGATTGAAACAAACACCCCCATTGTAACAATCACTATGTCGTGACGACGACGACGATGATGACGATGACGACAACGATGATGACATGATATTGTTGTTGACGTTGTTGTTGTTGCGATTGTTTTTATTTCTACTCAAAAGAACGTTTTTGCTTGGAAATGTTTTTGTCAATGTAATGATATTGTTGTTGTTGATGTTGTTGTAAAAGTTGTTGATGTTGTTGTTGGTAGTTTTTGGTGGAATCTCTGGCAGTGCGCAAGAATCGATCGGTTCTAGAAAAAATTAATTTTTTAATTTGTCGCGGGAATTCATATTTTTTTAAAAATGTGCGTATCTGATTTAGATAAAGTTAAATCAAACTGTACTACATGGTATTTAACAGTATCTATTGGTATCTAATAATATTTAATGATATTTAATGGTATCTAATGATACCTAATGATATTTAATGGTATCTAATGATACCTAATGGTATCTAATGATATCTAATGATATCTAATGATATCTTATGATATCTAATATTTAGATATATTTGGTATTTAACGCTATCTAGTGGTATCTCTTATGGTAATTATTGATACCATGCAGCCTTTGTTGGTATTATATGATACTCCATTGCACTAAATTATACACATTCGTACCGCAAGGTATTAAATTATGCTGTGTATATAAAAAATTTTTAAACTTTGAAAACAACTGCAATTATAACATAACTATTGTCACTGACGGTGATGACATCAACATACACAACAACATTAATTATAATAACATCAACAACAACAACATCAACAACATTAGCAGAAGTAGTATTATCAATAAGACTAACAAAAACAAAATCATCATTATCATGATCAACAACAATATCTACATAACATCAATAGCAACATCAGTATCAACATCATCCTCATCATCAACAACATCATTATCAACATCTACAACATCATCATCAACAACAACAATGTCATTATCAACAGCAACAACAACCACATCCTTATCAGCATCAACAACATCAACAGCATCATCATAGTCATAAACATCAACAACAACATCACAATCATCATCTTTATCTTCTTGAAAATGTTTACAACATCACGCCCAGAAAATTATACCTGCGTGTAAAAAGATGCAAAAAAGTAAGGCATTTACATTTTAAATAAACGAGCTTTAACGCTAATAACAACTACTACTACTACTACTACTACTACTACTATTACTATTACTACTACCACTACTACTACCACTACTACTACAAAAACAACAACTACTACTACTACTACTTCTACTACTATTACTACTACCATTATTACCACCACTATTACTACTACTATTACTACTACTATTACTACTACTACTACTACTACTATAACTACTAGTATTACTTTTACTACTATACTACTACTACTACTACTACTACTGCTATACTACTACTACTACTACCACTACTACTACTACTACTACTACTACTACTACTACTACTACTTTGTAACAATAGCAGCAGCAGAAGCTGTAGTAAGTAGTTAGTAATAATACTCACACGGTGATGAAGAAAACGCTACGGACTAGCAAGAAGAATGTCCACCGATGAGTAATTAATGATCGACACACTCGCGCAAAAAGTAGTCGTAAGAGAAATTACTGACTGACCGACTGGAGAGAAAAAAAATTTTTCTCAAATGGTTTTTAAAATTGAAAAGTTTTATTAAATGGGTGAAGAAGTTTTAGAAAATTAAAAAAAAAATATTGCGTGCTACGCTAATATAAAGTATATAAACAACAGCATCATCAACAACAACAATAGCAACAACATCAACAGCAACAACATCAACAACAACAACAGCAGCAGCAGCAGCAACAACATCATCAACAACAACAACAACATCAGTCAAGTCGTCATCGACAACATCATCGACCACGACATCAAAATCGTCAACCACAACAACAACAACACCACAACTACAACCACAACAACAACAACAGCCAGCTAAGAAATTTGTACGTTTAAAAGTAAATCGGGCTATGATGGATGGATGGGAGTCGGTTTATCTCGTCATGGTGGAAGAAAAGAGTGAAAAGATGATGATGACGACGACGAAGAAGACTATGACAATAATGATGAAGAAGAAGATGATGATGATGAAGAAGAAGAAGATGATGGTGATAACGTTAATACGTTAAACAATAATGAGAGAAACGATAAAATATATACACACACATATCGAGAATCATCACAATTGGTGATGGTGACAGAGTATGTAGCGATCGATAAGACAAAATGATGACGATGGCTCTCAAAATGATGATGAAGATGACGTTGATGACGACGATGACGTAAGAGGAAACGTGACGTCACGCAGACAGAAATAACGATTGTCGTGTCTTCAACGATATAGATGATGGGGTAGTTGGAGAGATGATGATAATGATGATGATGATGATGACGATGATGATGATGATGATGATGATGATGGTGATGATAAGGATGATGATTATGATGATGATGATCACGACGATAATGGTGATGCTGATGATGATGTTGACTAATACAAAAAAAAACGATGATATTGAATAATGATAAGATTTTATTGCATTAGTACGTATGTCAAACACACATACTGCTAATAATGCTAACAATACAAACAACAACAACATTAATAATAATAATAATAATAATAAAATGTTTACAATGATGATGAAGCCGACGACGACGACGATGAAGAAGAAGATGACGTTGATGATGACGTCACAGATTACAAAGATTAAATCAGTACTGGAAATGGCAAGTTGGCTGGCGGGAATAATAAAACACTTTATCACCGTCATCATTATCAATACCACCACTAAACATCACTATCAGCACCCGCCTTATCATCGTTATTAATTGTAGTAATAGTTGTGACATTTATTTTATTATTACATTTATTTAGCGTTGTTAAAATTTTCGAGGCTTTTGAGAACTGGCAAATACTTTACAAACACTTAGTCAATATTCAATATTTAATTAGTGTTCACATAGCGAATACCGTCTACAAGTATTTAAAAAAAAATCTCCAACTATCACATGTCATAAAGACTTAATTCAAATACAATTTACACTGTTGAAAATAGAAGAACATACAACACGTTACATTATTCGGTGAACAACAGAAGCATACATTACAAACAGAATCGTAATTTGTATGTATGCTTGCATTGCTAATTAAACAAATAGTATTAGTAGTAGCAGCAGCAGTAGTAGCAGCAGCAGTAGTAGCAGCAGCAGCAGTAGTAGTAGTAGTAGTAGTAGTAGTAGTAGTAGTAGTAATAGAAGTAGTAGTAGTAGAAGTAGTAGTAGTAGGAATAGTAATAGTAGTAGTCTTATTATTATTATTGTTGTTTGGATTTTATTTTTATTTTCTTTAAATGGAGGAATTCCTCGATACAATTAGACTTGCAAATGCACGTCAAAGCAAGAAAGCTGGTAGGACCGCCAGATGAACGTAAGGACGGACGAACGAACGATTTGAAAATGCTGCCAAAAAAATTTTTATCTGATTTTTATTTTCTTATACTTTATTATTAATCATTATTACTTTTTTATTGTCATGTTTTCTTAGTTTGTTTCTTCTTTATTTTAATATTTATTCAAAATTTTTCGTCCGATTTTTGAACAACAGAAGCATACATTACAAACAGAATCGTATTTTGGATTTTATTTTTGTATATTTGTATATTTGTATAAAAAATTTGTATATAAAACGAACTTGCGTTGGATATATATAGTATCATAAAAATATCATTCATTCTTCATTCATTCCTTCATTCAATCATTCATTCATTCATTCATTCATTCATTCCCAAATTTAATTCAGTTTCATTTCTTTGAAATCTAATAATCTCAATTCAGATGTTTCTACCAGCAAAAGCATTTATAATTTGTCAAATTTTTTTTAATTTGACATAATGAAACCAGACTGACAAATCTTTTTGAATTTTGAAAGAGTTTTGATGACGATGGTGAGGATGGCGATAATGATGATGTTGGTTATGATGATGATGATGATGATAATGATGATGATGATGATGATGATAATGATCACTTAGATGACGATGACTTTGAGCAGAAAATGGATGAGTATGGTGGCATTAATCTAGAAAATGACAAACAAACATGAACAGACCTTGACATCCTTCAGCTATTTCCTCCTCCTCCTCATCATCATCTTCCTCCTCATCTTCAACATTATCTTCGTCATCATCTTCATCATCATTTCCATCGTAATCACTGATACCTTTCCCACCATCACCGCCATCATCATCATCATCTTTCACGCCATCATCATCATCATCATCGTTCTCAATCATCCTGATCATTTTTTTCTTCGTGGCGAACACAATCTTCTTCTCTTTCTGCACTTTTCTCATTGATGCCCCGTTTACGGATATATCCCCCAAACAACCCAAAAATCCTCTACCCCCACAACCGGCACCCTCATTATAATAATTTGCATATTTGTAATTTTTTCCACTAGAGTAAAAATTATTTTGATATTTGAGGCCATCGCCGTTTCTGATTGGTCCGCTGTTTGGGGCCCCACCAAAAAATAACCAATCGTTGGCTAGATCGTAGTAGACGGATTTTATAGCGGGTAAGTTGTCATGCAGACGTATGACGTCATCGACAATCAGCCAATGGGTGGTGAGATTTCGCCGGAAGACTCGAACCTATTAATAAAATTATGGAGCGATAGATAGAAGGGTTTTGCAAATGAAAAGACGGATGGATGAATCAAATAGCGAAAAGATAATTAAAAAAATTAATTAATTGATCAAAACATTAACAGAAATCAATGAAATAATCATTCCAACAATCGATCAATCAATCACTCAAAAAACTAATCAGACCTCGTGCCATTTATTGTCGTGGAAAGTCATGTTGCGTAAAAGAGGAAGTGGTGGTGATGATGATGATGATGAAGATGATGATGACGATGGTGGTGATGATGATGATGACGATGGTGGCGATGATGATGACGACGATGATGCTGATGATGATGCTGATGACCAAGGCCGAGTTTTTTGCAACAATAGTAAAGACGACGACGACGACGACGATGATGATGATGATAATATTGATGAGGTGTCAAGGACCCTGGGACCACTGCCTACGTCATAACTGTACCTCACGTGACCGTTTAAAAGCTCCAAGTGCAAGAAATCCCGGTTTAACGGACCACCGACGCTCGTCATCAGGACTACAGATGGGAATGTCGTACGGAACTGATGGCGAGGAAGAAGATGATGATGAGGATGGTGGTGATGGTGATAATGACGACGACGATAATGAGGAAGATGATGATGATAATTATAATTTTGAAGATGATGAAGAATCATAAAAAAAATCATAAAAAAAAACAATTTTAGGACTGTGACGACGATCAAGTTATGTAAACAAAAGCAATGAGAAAACGACACGTACACACACACACATACACACACAGTCACATGCACATGCACACATAGAACCACGCACACACACGCGCGCACACACACACAGGCACACACACACACACCACAAACCTTAAGAGCAACATGAAACACTCCATATATTTTCTGCTTGACGGCCAGCATGTACTTGCAGGATTTAATAGTCACCGCGTTATTAACCACAAAACTTTTCAAGAACTTTACACCGTGATTATCACCCGGAACATTTTTAGTCCCACCTTCGTTGTACCGGTTGTCCTTATTAGCATCCTTACCAGGTGTATAACCAGAAGTGGGAATTCCATGTGTATTCGTGTTTGTAGGGATGAGTTGAGTGTCGGTAGTGATGGTATTCCTCTTCGGTCGGTTATTAACATACCTCGAGTCAGTCTTCATCTCCGTCGGTCTTTTATCGATTTTTGCATTCTCCGCTTTGTTCTGGTGGAGGACTGCTTGTTGGTCTGTTGGGATGATGATGATGATGATGACAATGATGATGAGGATGATGATGAGGAGGAGGAGGAGGAGGAGAAAGAGGAGGATGACGATTAAGATGACTAAGACTATGATGATGATGATGACAACAACCACAATGATGACAATGAAGGCGACAACAATGATGGTGATGACGATAATGGCGATGATGACGACGATGACGACAATGACGATGATGATGATTATGATGATGATGATGATGATGATGATGATGATGACGATGATAAAGACGAAGGCTATGATGATGATGATGATGATGGTGATGACGACGATGATGACGATAGCAATTATTCTAAAACAAACTAATGATAATTATACGAACAAAAATAATGATGACAATTATAATGATAATAATGTTGGTGATGAAAGCAAAAGAAAAAGCCTTTGATGTGTGAATTAGAATTACTTCCAGAGATGATAATGTAACTATAATAATATAATTATTGCGTCATAATTATCTTAATCATCATTATCATTGATATCATTATCATCATTATCATTCATATCATCATCGTTATCATTCATATTATCATTATCACTATTATTGTCATCGTCATTCTGGTTGAAAATATTTCGAAAAAATTTTAACAACATCATCTTCACTGTCGTCATCCTCATCATCATCATCACCAACACTATCATCATCATCACCAACACTATCATCATCATCATCACCACCCACATCATCATCATCAAAGTACGTGTTTTACAAGTATTTAACACTCGAGACAGCGTTATCATTAACTAACTTCAACATCATCAACAATTTTAAACCCGTTACACACGCATGCCAAACATACAAACAAACATACATACGTACAAACAACTTTACAAACATACAAACATACATACATAGATCATACAAACATACAAACATACAAACATATAAAAACTTACAAACAAACACACATACCAACATACATACAAACATACCGACATACATACTATCATCATCATCATACAAGTGCAATTGGATACATCTTTAAATACTAAATACACACACACAACAATAATACAGTACAGTCATATTTACACATAATTTTTAAAATATTAAATAATATGCATACACACATGCATAAATACAAACAATTTTAAATACAGAAATATTTATTATACAATACATGGACGCATACGTATAAACATACACATATGTATACAAACAATACAAAAAAAATATCTGCTTTCAGAAAAGTAAAATTTATAGCAAACGCTCAAACCAACACCTTACACACATACATCATACACACAAACACACACACACAAACATACATGCATTCATACAATACAAACATACATACATTCATACAATACAATACAGTACAATAGCAAACAAACGCAAACAAACACCTAAAGAAAGAAACAACCACCTAGAAACAAACTTGAAATCTTTTGATCAAACAAAAAGGTAGAATATAAAACCATTCACGCACACACTGACGCACGCATGCGAGCGTACGTAAAATGACATTAACACACACACACACATCATTCACACACACAACACGTAAACGTACACACACGCGCGCACACACACACTCACATAAAAG